AGATAGCTAGCTAGCTAGATAGATAGATAGGATAGGATAAGATAAGATAAGATAAGAAAAGATAAGGTAAGGTAAGGTAAGGTAAGGTTAGATAGATAGACAGACAGACAGATAGACAGAAAGACACATAGACAGAGAGACAAACAGATAGACAGATAGATAGACAGACAGATAGACAGAAAGACACATAGACAGAGAGACAAACAGATAGACAGATAGATAGGCAGACAAAGAGACAGAGAAATAGGCAAATAGATAGACAAATAGATAGATGGGTAAATGGCCAGATAGACAGATAGATACGTAGACAGACAGACAGTTAGATAAACAAATAGATAGACAGATTGAAAGAAAGACAGATGGATAGACAAATAGATTGGTAGATTGACAGGTAGAGATGCACATAGATAGTCCATAGGCAAAGACACAGAGAGAGAGAGAGAGACTCAGAGCCTCAACGACAGTGGGTTCGCTCTGGCACCCATGCTGTCTTCGAAACTTCCGCCACGCGCGCTACTACTGCATGGTAATATCAATACGGCCACCACGGGTCAAAACACCGCCAGTCTTCTGTGAGAATCATTGCCAACCAAAGGCAATGAGCTAAGTAACGGGAAGAGGACTCGCCAAATTCGCCATTCTCGAATCCTGAATATCAGCCCAGGCTGCGGCAACAAGTGACTTGCTATATGAATGAAATATGCCATTAAATACGCCTCTATGGATGTATACGTACGTACGTACGTCGTACGTACGTACGTACGTACTTGCGTGGGTGTGTATGAGTGTGTGTGTGTGTGTGCGTGCGTGTGTCTGTATGTATTTATGTATGGATGTATGTATGTATGTCTGTCTGTGTATGTGTGCATGTGTGTTTGTGTGCAAGTGTATGTATATACATGCATGTATAGGTATGTATATCCATGTATATGTGTATATGCATGCGGAAATGAATGTGCAAATGCAAATGCAAATGTATATGTTCGTATATATATATGTTTATGTATATATGTATATGTACGTACATGCCTATGTGTGTAAATGTAGTGTATGCATATGTATATGTATATGTATATGTATGGGTTATGTGTATGTGTGTGTGCATTATGTGCATGTGTATGTGTATGTTCTATGCGTGTGTATGTGTATGCGTCTGTATGTATGTGTGTGTGTATGAGTATGTGTATATATGTGTATTGGTATGTATGTATGTATGTATGTATGTATGTATGTATGTATGTATGTATGTATGTATGTATGTATGTATGTATGTACCTACGTATGTATGTATGTATGTACGTAGGTATGTATGTATGTATGTATACGTATGTATGTATGTATGTATGTACGTAGGTATGTGTGTATGTATGTATGTATGTATGTACGTAGGTAGGTATGTATGTATGTACATGTACATGTATGTATATTGTATGTATAAGCGTATGTGTGTGTGTTTTATCTGTGTACATGTGCATTGTTATGTGTATATAACGTATATGACTGTTATATTGGCAAATATCTGCAAAATATGCAATACAATGGATGCTACAAGAGCTCTTGTCTGAGCACCCTTGCTCAGGAGTAAGGCTCAAGGGACCAAGGCTGAGAAAGGACGACTTTATTGATACAGCTTGAATATTGTATAAGAATGCATTGTATAAGAATTTGAGGGGCTCGGGTCCAATGCGGGCTACATATTTTCAGCTACACTAAGCACATAATACTTTCAGAATTTGAAGGGCCCTGAGATAGAATTTGAAGGCCGACACGCTAACCACTGAGCCACAAGCCCTTGCCTCCGGAGAATTTTGCCTTCTTATTCTCTCTCTGGGCTGGCTGCCCGGGGCTGGGTTTTGGCCTGGCTTGCGGTTGCGAAAAAAAAAAATTGCGCGATCCGAAAAATTGTTTTTTTTTGGGCGCTGCCCTTGTGAGACTCAGAAATGAGATGTTGCAACTCTTCTTTCTCTGTCCCCGGACCAACCCATCAGACAAGCCCGGCTTTTCAAAGAAAAAAGGCTCTAAAAAAAAATGTTTTTTCGCATACCCCCATACCCCTTGTTAAATCTGCTAGCTCCACCCTCGTTTGACCTCGCTCTAAATTGCACAAATATATATATATATATATAAATTTAAAAAAAAGACAACTAAGAATTCTCTAAGAGTTTGAGGGACCCTCGACCTATTGTCGTGGAAATTCGCCTGCATTTAAAAAAAAGAATTTAAGGGGCCCTGGGCCTCAAGCTTTTGGATTCTTAACCAACCCCCGGGCTGTAATTAGAAGGCTTTGCTGGCTCTTTAGCACTCATCATGCAAAATTAGTCAAGCAAGAGATGGGCGAAGAAGAAATGGCTTTGGATTTTGTTGCAGGCCGAAAGAAATATCGTCCATGTCAAATATGTCCAAGTATTGTCCAAATTTATATCACGCATACATAATTATATCATGTGCAGCCAGAACACGCCGCCATAGAAAGCCACAGTTGTGAGGCCAAGTGCCACTTCAACTCATGGCATCCTACGGGAGTCCTGCTGCACTTGAGCCAGGCAGCGGCCGGACATTGGTGGCAAATATATTGACCAATCCATGGATCCTTGGTAACATTCTGGTGCAGTTGCTGCTGGCCTCGATCTCGCCATCAGTCAGAACCACAAGGACATAGTACCTGAACCAAGAAATACCATGAATTTAATTTGGTCATGAATCCCCTTTGTCCCTGATCAGATCTCTGTTTAGCCTGATTTCTTCTCCTCTTGCCCTTCCTCAGTTTCACTCTTCAACCGCAGCCAGAAACATCTGCACAACACGTCTTGGACTTCAACGGACAGCATCCTTCACAGCACCCCCAAATGTCCGAAACGCAGATCACCAGTCTCACAGCATCGAAATTTACTTGTCCCAATCTCCCTCCAGCTCAAGGGTATGCGTCTCCCTCAAGAAAACTGATGTTGCCTCAGGTTGACCATAATTACACGGTTGGGGTTATATATGTATACATATGTATAGGCTGTCAGTCTTCTATTTTATCTCATATGGTGCCAGAATTAATCAATAAATTGATTTGTTGGAGCTGCAATGGCTGCATCGGAAAATCCATCGGTCCCGCGCAGTACAGATTCACCATTCCCTCGTTGCTGGCTCAGTGCCACGTAGCTGGCTCAATGCCTCGTTGCTGGCTCAGCGCCTCGTAGCTGGGTCAATTTCTTTGAGCCCCCCCCCAAAAAAAAAAAACGCAAAAAAATGAGCCAGCTACATGCCCTTCAGCCAGCTCGGTGCGCCGTCATCATCCCGGCCAATACATATTATTTTTTAGCTTTCACATTCGTTGGCCAGCTCAACGTGACGTAGCTGGCTCAATTTTTTCGATGTTTTTTCTTGTTTTGTTCGTTCAAAAAAAATTGAGCCAGCTCAATGCCATCGAGCTAGAGCGATGTGTTTGAGCTCGCGGTGTTGCTGAGGTAGCTCGTTCCACTTGAGCGAGCCTGCAAATTGCTTCCCAATGTGTTCAATTGCCAGGTTCAGTCCCAAAGGATTCGTTTAATAGAGATGGTACCCCTGTTGCAGCCCAGAAATTTAGGAGCCACGTTTTGGGCCAAATCTGCTTAGACAGCGGCACAACATTAAAGTCAAACACATGACCCCTTCTGAAATTGAGCCAGCTACATGTTTTGAGCTAACTCGAAAATGAGGAAGATTGTGGATTGCTATACATTCAAAAACAGCTCGCTAGAACAGCACCCTGGGGAAAAACCCCGAGTAAAAAAACAAAATCAAAATTGTTGCTAAGCCGGGCATTCGTTTTGGTTGGAAGTGAGAATAATGCAGCTGTTGCTTCTTCGGAGTAAGGGAGATAAACGCTTTCGAGCAAACCCGCAAGAAACTCATCGTTTACCATATTTCACAGATCACATCTTTGACTGCGTCTTTCATTGCGCACTTCATGTCCGGAGGCTGCTCGTTGATCCTCAAATTCTTTGGCTGCATGTACGGCCTGTGCCAGTCGCAGCATTTGGATCAAATTAGATCGCGTATGATCAAATTATCCCAGAATTGGTGTAAGGGAGACTGCACATTGACACCCTAAATGCAGGGACAAAAACAATTGCTTTCCTGAAGAAATTCCCAGAAGCCAACCCTGTGGAATTAGCAACTGCATGCCATGGCTATGATGGGGACGTAGCGTTATTCTTTTGTTGAGGGCAACTCCACAAACTGATGGCCTGGACATGTCAGCAGCCAGTTTGATCACATCCTCAGTGTCTGGGTGCTCATCAGATACAAACAAATCTGTCAATTTTTCGACATCGATCTATGATCAGCGGCTGTGTATTCGTGTAAATCTATATAAATATATATACAGCCCTCTATGTATACTTATTTATTAAAATCACATATGTAATTATCGAAGGGAGTTTGAAGTCAAACTTCCGACAATATGGACAGATGAAAAGCAGAGCAGGGAAGAGGCAGAGAGAAGAGAAAGATTAGAAGAAAGAAGAGTAGAAGAGAAAGAGTAAGAAGAAAGAAGATGCAGATGCGAGAAAAGGTAGGAAAGTCGCGAAACACTGTGTTTTTCGAATGATTTGGGGCTCTGGAGGGTCGAAAAGTAGGCTCGCTAAAGCGGCAGGTGCGGAGCCAGCTGGCCAGATGAGAGATGAAAAATTGCACGCCGTTGTGGCGCGAAGCACATTTCCAAGTCAAAATGTGCAAAACACCTCAGCTTCGGAGCACTTTTAGAAGTTGCGATGTCGAAAAAGTGCACGCCGTTGTGGCGCGAAGGACATTTCCAAGTCAAAATGTACAAAGCACACCATGGTCGGAGCACTTTTGGAAGTTGAGATGTCGAAAAAGTGCACGCCGTTGTGGCGCGAAGCACATTTGGAAGTCAAAATGTTAAAAACACTAGGGGTTCGGACCACTTTTGGAAGTTCAGATCTCGAAAAAGTGCACGCCGTTGTGGCGCGAAGCACATTTTGAAGTCAAAATGTTAAAAACACTAGGGGTTCGGACCACTTTTGGAGGTTCAGATGTCGCTTCGCTTCGCTTCACTGCACTACATTACACTACACTACATTCCATTACACTACACTACACTACACTCCACTACACTACAACTACAACTACACAACTACACTCCACTACACTCTACTACACTAAATTACACTACACTACATTACACTCCACTACACTACGAGTACATTACCCTACACTCCACTACACTACACTACACTCCACCACACTAAATTACACTACACTTCACTACATTACACTACACTACACTCCACTACACTACATTACACTACACTACACTACCTTCCACTACACTTCACTACATTACACTACACTACACTCCACTACACTACAACTACAACTACAACTACAACTACACTCCACTACACTAAATTACACTACACTAAATTACACTACACTACATTACACTACACTACACTACCTTCCACTACACTACATTCCACTACACTCCACTACACCACCTTACATTACACGACACTACATTACACTCAATGACACTGCACCACAGATAGACAGGTAGACAGCTAGACAGATGAAGGAGAGAGAGAGAGATAGATAGATAATAGATAGATAGATAGATAGATAGAAAGATAGATAGGTAATTAGATGAAAGAGAGAGAGAGATAGATAGATAGATAGATAGTTAGATAGATAGGTAGGTAGGTAGGTAGTCAGAGAAAGAGAGAGAAATAGTGAGAGAAATCAATCACCTTTCGCTCCATCAGTGGCTTCGCTCTGCCATCCCTGATTCACAACAACCAACCTCTCCTATAGGTTTCCAATTTTTGAAACTTCCGCCACCGCCTTGTGCGGTACTACTGGTATATGGTTACGCTAAGTCGCTGCAAAGTTGTTGTATATGTTGTTGTACCAAGTACCCAGGCAGCCGCCGGTGCCACCCAGGCTCTGCAAGGTAGGAAGGCCCATGCAAGTGACATACTCGCAGGGCGCGGTGGTAGGCCTTGAGCATGCCCTCAACGCCTGGGTATCTCAGGTTCCGGGAGAGCCCTCGCAGGGACATCGGTTTGCATCTCGACTTCTGTTCGTTTCTGTTTGACTCTGAATCTGAACAGCATGGGCCCACGTGTTCAAACACTATCTGCTCAAACTTGACCGTGCTGCAATTTGAATATATTTGAATTATATACAATTCACTGTTGTCCATTTTCATTATTCAAGGCTAGCTTGAATTCGTGGCAGAAGCAATTGTTGAAATTCAGTCTCGGCACCATCCACCTGCGGTTGAAAAAAATCACCAGTCAAAGCGAAGCAGTTGGAGACGACCTCATTTATTTGCCAAGACTCGAGCACTGGCTCTATGTCTTCAGGGGGTTGGTCTCAACATGTTCATGCAGGGTTGAATGCGCTGCTGCACATTGCCCCATCAGACTTCTCAGTCATACCCATCGACCCAACGGTGCATCAAATCATAATCAAACGGCATCAATCAGGTGTATCTCAGCGATTTTCGTGTATAGCTGGCAGGTGGTTTCAATCCATCCCCAAAAAATGAGCCACACTTGGGATCATCGTCCCAAATACTCGAGGGCAAGCGGGGGTATTGTTGTGACGGTAGGTGCTGACAGGAAGTACCAAAAACACCGTTTCTTTCGCTTGGTTTCTGTCAGGATCGACCAATCACGTTTTTTTTCTCAAAAGCACGTCCAATATTAATGGCATGTAGTTGAGGTTGATAAAATACTCAAACAAACTAGAGAGACAATGATGCGGATAATTGTGTCGAGAATGGTACAATCGTTATAACGACAAGGATTGGGATGAGGGTGAAGGTAGGGATGAGGGCAAAGGTAAGGACAAGGAGGAGGTGAAGAGGAGGAGGATGGGCAACAATAACAAGGGACAATGATTTGAATGATGATGAGGATTATGATGAGGATTTCAGGATGATGACTACGATATGCCTGGGAATGAACATGAGGAGGAATCAAGGCTATCGCAACGAATCGCCACGTGTCAAAACAAAATCCAAAATGGAAACCATGCAGGGCAGGTGCATGAACCGAAAGCAAGGAATCCGTAATCGAAAAAGTTCTACCGCCCCAAAAAGGACCATGTCTACACAGAAAATTTAGTTGGCTGATGTTAGCTGACTTTGTGACATAGGCTATGGCATGCTATGGCTTTGACAAAAGGATACAAAAGGGGAAAACATGGAAACTATGAGAAACTGCCCGAAAACACCAATCAGTTCTCGCTCATCCGTTGGACACCTGGACGCCATTGATCGGATTCAGGGCCAAGAGGCGGAATGTGTGGGCGGAATCTTGGCCCCAAAGCCATAAATGGGATAACTGTTGTCGGTGGCATAGACCGACATCACTTCCTTAGCTGATCGCCTTGAACCACCTTGTCATTGACACCTTGTCATCGTTCGTCTGGAAATTCTCTGCAGCCAACGGTCTCCGCGTTTTAAGAGTTCAAAGCATTAAGTTTAAGCCATACTTGAGCTTCAGGGGCAAGGGACGAAAGCTGGCTGGGAGGGTAAAAGGAGAAGGAAGGTGTGGTGGGTGTGGTGAAACAGGGGTGCATGAGGAATTGGACAATCAACTCTGAAGTTTCATGCGATTGGAGATCCCAGCCCCTGCCAATACCTTGCTGAAGTAAGAGGGACTTGAGCTGAAGCTAGCTTTCGTGATTAAACTGATTAAGCCTGCTAAACTGATTTCAACTAATTTTAACTCATGTTTAAGCGATTTTAAGCGATTTTGCGAGCTACTCCCAGGCAGCGAATCGCACTGGCATACGCGGTCTCTTCTTCCGTGGAAACCACACTGTGCCTTGGGCGGGTGGATGATGGGTTGGGCCGTACTCACTTCCGAATCGGGATGCTGGAAGTTGTTAATCCGAGTCCAGTTCACCATTCCGTACTGTAAAGTGGAAAGAGTACAATCTGGGTGCAAACTTGAGCATGTAAACTGGTGAAACTGCAACATGGCAACTACTGTAGGGCAATTTAGATCAATTTAGATCGTCAACAGTAACATCACAGAGCATTCACAAGCAAAACCTCAGATTGCAGTTTTGCGACTATACCCAATACCCACCCCTTGGCAAAGCATGAGAAAGCAGACGCAGTCACGAGGGAGGATCGGGAGGTCTTTTCAGCACGCCACACACAACTCCAGAAGTACAGACAATACTTGTCTTGCTCAGGGCCTGCTGTTTTGGCCCAGGGCAATCTTTGAAAGAGGGAAGCATACCGCACACGATATATGGAACCCTCCTAAAAATCGTTGAGGTGATCTTGGACTGAGGAACTGTCACCACCAAAGTCAGGATGGCCCCAGGTGATCACAGATCCATCAGCCAGAATGGCAGCAAACGCCCTATGTGTGGCTTGAATCCGCTGCACACTCCTGAGCTGGTCTTTGACCGCAGAGCTGTCACCACCAGAACGTGGATCGCCCCAGGGCAAATGCAGCACGCGTGGCTTGGATCTGCTGCACGCCCCTGAGCTCATCTCAGACTGCAGAGTTGTCGCCCCCAAAATCTCGATCCCCCCAAGTAACGACCGATTCATCTGCCAAAATTGCGATGAACGCAGCACGTGTGGCCTGAATCTGGCACACTGTCCTCGCTCTCCTGTGATGGTCGGCTCTCTTGCGTTTGTCTTCGACCCTCTGTCTCGGTCGCAGGGCTTGTACTTGGAAACCTCCAAAACGGCAGCTGCTGAGGTTGCCCCACGTTAGAGCAGAGCCATCAGCGCGAATGGCAGAAAATGCATAATCTGTGCACTGAATCTGCTGCACATTTCTGAGCTGGTCTTGGGCTTCACTCGGAATGCCATGGCCTCTATGTCTCCATGTGATTACAGATCCATCACCCAGTATTGCCGCAAAGGCCTCGTGTGGACTGAATCTGTTGGACACCCCTGAGCTGCTCCTGGACTGCGCAGCTGTCACCACCAGAATGCGGATAACCCCAGGTCAAGACCGAGCCATCTGCCAGAAGGGCGCAAATGCATAATCTGTGCTCTGTATCTGCTGCACACTCCTGAGCTGGCTTTTCACTGCAGAACTATCACCACCATACTCTGGATTGCCCCAGGTAACAACTGAGCCATCTGCCAATATTGCAGCGAATGCTGCGCGCGTGGCCTGAATCTGCTGAACACCTCTCAGCTCATCTTGGACTGCAGAGCTGTCACCACCAAATGGTGCATGACCCCATGTAACAACTGAGCATCTCCACGGATTCCAGCACATGCATGTACTGTGGACTGAATATGTTGAACACTCTTGAGCTGCCCTTTGGCTGCAGAGATGTCACCGCCATATCGTGGATCACCCCATGCCACGATCGATCCATCTCCTAGGATGGCTACAAATGCACGCTCTGTCCCCCGGAGTTGCTGCACATCTGTAAGCTGATCTTGAATTTCAGAGCTGTTCCCGCCAGCATAGGGATCCCGCCATGTCACAATTCTGCTGCACCCAGGGTACTAAAGGGCAAAGGCACGATCTGTTGATGCAATCTCTATTTGATGCGCTATGGCTGTCAGGTTGTCACCCTCTTGGAGTCCAACATCTTGCAACTGGGCAGGATCAACAAGGGCATGCCCCTCTGCAACAAGCCTTAGGAAAGGTTGTTCAAAGATGTTCAAAGGACCTTTGAGCAAGACGTTTCAAGTCCCCAACTTTGGAGGACTGCGGTACGGAAAGGCTTTTCCTTTTTCCACTCGGCAAGGCGATGTAGACTTGAATCACCAGTCGATAGCTCACGCCATTGTGTGGCTCTAAAATCTAGATTGAATCTCTAAAATCTGGAACCAAACTGGCTTGTATGCTCCAAAGCGTTTGCTGGTTAGACTCTGCAAGCACTATTTAGCTAGACTGCTGACTTGACATAAGTTTTCACCGTGACCGTTCTGATGATGGCTGATTGAAACAACAATCGCGTCATCAAATCATGACAGGTGTGTTTTTCAAGACTTCTTGAGCTAAGAAATGGCTGCTGGTGGCGAGCCGTGGAACTCGATTGTGCCCTCGGTCGATCAAGGCATAGCAATTTCCACAATTTGGACATCCAATAATACGAATAGGGTGCATTAGATGATGCCCTAACAATGCCAATGGACATCAACTAAATGTGCTTCAACCTCTCTCTCTGTCTCTCAGTTTTTCTTATTCCCATGGCTTTCAACCTTGGTTGGGACAATGGTGTGGCAGTTCCACCATGTTCCACTAACAGCAACTCAAAAACATCGGAACGCTTGTGCCACGTGGCATGGATTTCGGATTGGTTTGGCCCAAGTTGGATCTGGTCAAATCAACGGCCACCATGAGTTGCAATTCGAGTCCGCCCCGCAGGTAGTCCAAAAAGGAGAAGTGGCGCTTGAAGCGAAAGCCATCCATGGTCAGCTGTCCCGCCAATGGTCCGATGTGGCCTCTGCCTGTGGACGCAATGATGGGTGGTGCATCGAAATCCATACACATCATCTACAAAATTCTACCATCATATCTACAGGCTTGATTCGGCTTAATGCGAGCCACACAGAACATCATCGACAACAGCCAATGGATATGGTCCACTCGGGATTCCTGATAGATCTGACAGTTGTTCTCACAATCCTTCTATACCAATGGCCATCCCGCATGGTATGAGTCAACTACATTCAGCTACTGCTACCTTGTATCTAAGTGTATATAAGCTGACTGGGGCCCAGGTAGTGCCAAGTTGCTTTTCATCTCAGAGGAGGTCACAGAGTGAGTGCCACCAGAGGTGTGGCTCTTCGACGAATGCCCTGAGATTTGCGAAGTCGTTCTTCCGTGGGAACTGCTGCGTCCATGCGACGAACTTCTGCCGTGGGACGAGCTCCTAAGATTCGGCTGCCAGCTGATCAGTTTGGTCAGAACCTCTGATATCCTCTGATGACCTGAGTATGGAAAATTCTTAGCTCATTGGATTTCATTGGACTCATTGGCCACCAAGTTGGTATGAGTTGGCCAAAATGGTGGCATATGACAGGCTACAGTGGAAACATTCATCAACGGCAGTCATCCCAAGGAAGTCCTTGGCCCACCACCACTAGAGAGCATCGAGCCAGTCCTGGCATGATAAACATCACTGATACATGATTTCTATATAAATCATTATAAATCATTGTTCATATAGTCACAATGGTCACAATATGTCAGAATTATAGTTATATAATGTTATATGTAATATATATATATATATGACAACGCAGATAATAAGCAACACTTACATGAAAATACATGAAAACATGGGTGTAGTGTTATGCTTGTCGTGCAACTCATTCTGTGCGTTTGAATCATTGATGATCATAGCATCGCACTGAAATTTTGCGAAACTCTTGGGGGATGAGTCCTGTTCGAGATCAATTGAGAGCCCATTCGTCCCCCTATGCCACTGCTCCGACTGGCATGCGTGCTTTTCCTGACGCGGGTGGATGAACATGAACGAGCCGATGGTAACAGTTTTTTTTTGCCTTTTTCAGCCGTTTGTCGAGAACAATAGGCATGGATGAGAAAACCTCCAAGTAGAGAAACCATGCACATCCATCATCCATGCACTAAAAAGCACAATTGCCTAGAGCCCACCATCGAAACAAGAGGGTACCCAAAATTTTAGCTCTGGGATCTGGGACCCATCGAATAAGATCAAAACAGCTCATCCAATTGGATAATCCATTGAGATTCAAATTGAGATGCATTAAGTCTTGCATATTCTTGCATTAAGTCTCATTATGGATGATCCATTGATTCTAATGGTCCATACTATATTTTGGACCATCCATATTCAGCAGCGGCTAAAGATGGCTATAGGCTGCAACTGCTGCTCCAAGTGAAGCCTATCCCGCCTCGATGGCGCCCGATCCGCCGACAGCGTGGTACTTCTGGAGCCGGAGCCTGTCCTTCACCGAACAGCTGCGACATGCTGCGACTGGAAATCCCTACTCGCATCGGAAATGTATCGTGACCCTTGCCTTTACAAATCTTTACAAATTGTGGACAATCCCTCGCAAACGGTATCTTATCTCATCCTTTTTCACCCATTTTGATAGGTTGACACCTTGTTAATCAAGAGTCGCAATGTGGTTAACAGAAAGGTGGGCGAGTTTACATGCAAACAATATTTTCCTGATATCTAGGTCACTTCATCTGCCTATCCAAAAAAAATTATCAAGCCTTCTAAACAGATTGTGGCAAGTGCCACACGAGTCCTGGATCCAGAGCCTGTTCGACTGCTCGATCGTCCACCTTTCAGCATGGTTTTGGAAGTTCTCATCCGGGTCATCCCGGCAATCCTCATGCAATCCATCTCTGAAGTCCGATTGCACAGCTGAAAAAATCGAGACAGTGCCAAGCCAAAAAAATACAAACACAAGTAAATGCATAAAAATATGTATATCATTTCTAAAATGTGGAACATCTACCACTTCTATCCATTCTACTGGCTCCAACTGTACTAATTAAATGATACTAAATGCAGCATGTGATCATCAAACAAGTGGCAGCAGTGCTTTTACATGCCTGGCACTGGATCTTGCTTACCGTCCCGAAACGCTCCCAAACACTGTGCAGAGGGCTGTAGATGTTACAGTATAGGGATTGATTGGTCAAACTGACATTCCGATCTTCAACTTCTTCGAGCTCCTTGGGCCCTCCCTCTTGTAGATAGGAAAGGTGTGTGGATTCCCTCGTCCCACAATCTTCTGTAGCTCCTGGTGCTGAGTTGGGGATGGTTTGGCCTCGGAATGAGGTTGGATTAGCCATGATGCCGCAGACCTATGTTTGAAGACCTTTGTGAGCCCTCGATCTCTTCAACTAGCTTGTGGGTGTTTGCGATGCTTCTGTCATACCTTTCCAATCTTTCCAGTAAAGATGCGCCAACGTTTCTAGGATGATTAAGCTGATGATCCAGCCCTGACGATCCCTGAAATCCTCAAAATTTGTCACAAACTCACCAATGTAGCGATCTGGCGCAAGACGGAACCAATCGTGGACCTTAGGAGCTTGACTGCAGACCGGTGCCTGTCGCTGAGAGGGAACTCTGAAAACAACCGACCAAACTTCAAAATCCACATCAATGTCGTCATGGACCACCGGGTAGGGAAAAAGAAAGGACCTGCCAAGCCACAGATATGATGATATCCTGCGAAACATCACATGAACTTGTCTGGGCCACAGTGAAGCTTGCTTCCTGTCATGGCAGCTGGGGAAGGCGACCAAGTTTGGAGGACGAAGAAATACAGCTCGAGCTTCCAAAGACTCCCTTTCTTGATATCTCTACATAAGCCTGTGTCATCCTGTGTCAGCGTGAATGCAATATACAGTTTTTAAGTTAAAGCGATAACAGCCTTTCAGCATCTTTCAGTGGTCCAAATGAAGTACAAAACCAGACTGCCTCATAGGATGGCACCGAAGTCTTTCGAGCAACTTCGCTGCGGAAGACTGGCTGCAGCAGGAGTTCACCTGTTTCATACACTGCCTCGCAGGATCTTGCAGGCTGACCCCTACCCTGCCCTACCCATTACTTACCCGTTACCCAGTTTCGAAACAAATCTGCTAAGGCAAGGTCAAAGAGTCGGCTGAAACGCTGACATCGCAAAAGAATCTTCTTCGTTTGCATCCGAGCGATCAAGCTCTTGCGTTATTCTTATGGGTTACGTGTTTACAACATTGTTCATTTTGTAACATTTTATACCTTTTTGCTATGTGCTGCACTTGCTCCAGACTGAGTAGTCGCTGGAGGCCTGGATTCGATTGACCTCATAGTAAGGATCGCATTTTCGCTTCCAGAAATCGGTGGGTTTCAAATCCTGCCCTGAGACCGTGAAGCTCAACTCCTCGGATGTGAAAGCATGGCACGGGCAACCCCTGGCAAAGTGGTACTTCTACCTCAAAGTAGTGGTTCTTGCCCATGCAACGTGACGGGTGTCAGGGTTTACTTTGGTCTTTGCATGTCTTTTCCTATTGTCTTTTCTTTTTGCATGTCTTTTCCATGGCATGGGGTTACTTAATTTATTTTAATTTGGTCACGGCCTTAGGTATTACTCATCTGGTATGTGTTGTTTCAGTGTGGAGGACGAGCTCAACATGGGCATAGTCCTACATTGCATTGCATTGCATTGCATTGCATTGCATTGGTACGGGCAACTTCAGAAGGACTTCATCATTTTCCATGAACATATCTGAAACTATACGTGATCCGATTTTGCCGGCACAAACAGATAGTGTGCTTGGTCCACATCACAGGTTCATCCAACCATCATCCAACCGTCATCCAATGATCTCGTGCTGCACCAAAGGTTCCACTTTGGCATCCACCGACTCCTCCGCATAAACGAACAACTTCCCAATGGGCGGATCTCGCGGCTTCCTGGAGGGCGCTTGGTCTCCCGAAACGTGGCATCGAGCCAGCAATGGATACCCATGTTCACTTGCTTGACATGAACAGGACCCAAGAAGTGTCAAAGAGACCTACCAAATCCCAAGCTTTTCTATACCTTTTCTGGCCTATCCAGCATCAAAGGTTAGTTTTAGCAACCTCCAATGCAAAAAGTTCACAGGAGCCATGTCCTTTTGATGTTCTCCAGCTTCTTCTTCAGCCAGCCGTGATTCTTTGTGCTGCTTCTGGCATACACGGCTTCTGCTAGATTGAATTCGGCAGACCCCACATATTTCTGCTCCATCAAATCTTCATGCATCGCTTGGTTTCCTCCGGAAAACAAGAGGCCAAAAGGAAACAACAACAGGTGCCTACATGAAAACAGATTCAAATATATTCAAATTTACAGCAAAATGTAGCAAATCACGTGACTCAAGTGGAGGTGGCACTTCTCAAGCATGGTGCAGTCAGGTATCTGATAATGTAAATTTCGACACGAACCTCACGCACGTGTTCCTGACAGGGTAGCTGCGTAGCTGCATTCCGACTGCATTCTGACTGCATTTGACTGCTTAGCTCGCAGAGTAAGATGAACATCAGAACAAAACAGAAAAAAACGTGGACATGAACAAAAGCTGATAGAAAGCACGAGTCATTTATCAAAATTTGATGTCATTTTTTCAACACTTTGGCGCTCTGGAAGTCCGGAAAGTCCGGATGCCGTTGCCAAAGCTTTTGAAGAGGCGTCTGCCAATTGGGCACCGCGAATCCATTGTGATTGCGAATCCATGGGCGACTCCCCAAGCCATACAATAACCCCACCATCCCCACCGTCCCCACCATCCCCACCATCCCCACCATCCCCACCATTCCCACCTCATTTAAAATATATATAAAGTTATAAAAAAATATGATTTACGGTGTGATTTATCACTACACTTTCTCTACCGTCTGCAGATTCTACAGCGATCGATTAGCACTTCCTGCTGCACACAATCCCTTCTGGAATTCTCATCCGAGGATCTATTCGAAATTGCAAATCAAACATTCTCTCCCACACTGGCCATCTGGTATCTTGCCCACAAATTTCAGTGGTGCCATACCTCACAGCCACAGCGCTGCATATCGCGACAGAACCAGGGTCCAAGCAATTGGAGTCAAAGGTGAAAAATGGTGAAAACCTAAAGATTATTGTTGATTCAATCTGATTCTGATATTGGTGATGATGCCAAGATGCTCCATCCAAAGCTCATCAGTACTCAGCTTAGAGTATACCACAGCCACAGTATTTCCTCAGTGCAAAGGTCGTTTCATATAGCTGTGACTCGGCTCCAGCCCAAGATCTTTGTCAGACTCATCCAAGTCTCGGCCTTTCTGCAAGCCCTCACATCGCAAACCTCCGTTGCCATGAGCCACAGTGGTCACAATAAACTGTTGACTCAATAGGTTTTCATTTTTTTCCAAACTTTTATCATGCTGAAGTGTCGTCGGACTCATTTCAGGTGTCAGCCCTGTTTTCTTCAACTTCGCTTGGAGGTCGATTCTTTTGCCCCTTCTATCCCGTCCTACCGCATCATCCACATCTGAAACACCAGTCGGAGCATGTCAGAATATGTCATAACAGCCAAGCTACTGAGCATAACCAGTGAAGAAAAGTCGTGGACAATTGTTTCTGCTTTTGGTGCCACCATGCCTGGAATTCAAAGCTCAGGAACATCCATGAAAATCACCATCTCTATCCATCTCTCATTGTAAATCAGCCGTCCAAACCAACACACGCTCTTACCGTTGTGTAAACAACATGCCCATCTAGAATAGGATCGGGCCATCATGCATCAAACTTCCTACTCCGTACATGCGCGATGTGGCAATTCAGCAGTGCAGGCACCTTTCGCCTTTGGCGACTGGAAATCGACGACGTCATCGGAAGCTTTGGTGCTGGATCCACAACCACCCATTGGCACCGGGGATGCGCGATGCAAAGCGCTGCCAAGCTGAACCACTGGTGGATTAGATGATTAGAAGCCCCACTTTCAAAATGTCGTGAATGTAAAGGCTGGGTGTGAAGGGCTGGTGGCTAGCTGCTAGCTCCCGGATTGCACCGGGCCAGCATGAGAGGTGTGAAATCATTGTGTGATTGCAAGCTGAAACCAAACTATGAAGAGCCCACACAACATCGAATATGACTATTCTGACTGTAAGGTTTCAGATGGTTGGAGTAACCAGGAAATGCTGCCACAACTGGCAACAGCAATCAAGGCTTATTCGAAAAGTTGGGCACGAACGGTTTCGACCCCAGTTTCCCTTAAGCAAGGATGAATCCAGAAAGCTGCTGACAGTGTGGCTGTTTCCGGTGGAAAATTCACTAGGCAAACTTCATGATACCTTTTGATACTGATTACTCTGACTACTGATATCTACTGATACAAGGCGGTGGCCCAAAATGGGTCCATCCTCCCTTGACCTTGAGCCAAGGTTCTGAAATGCACGGGCTGAGATGGTCATCAGGGATCATCAGGGCCCTCTGGCCTCTGCATGTTATTGGTTGAAACGCTTGGCAGTGGAGCCCTTGATAACCAGATATTATAACCAGCAACCAGTATTTGTCAAGTGGCCAAACATCATAAAACGCTAAGAAAGTCTACAGATCATCGGCCACCTTGCACTCCACCTTGCCTGTGAGACATGAAACAAAACAAACCGAAACGAAGAAAGAGGGGCTCATCTTGCCCAGCGTGTGATCCATGATGATCCATGCAATAAACGTCAAGAAACGGTGATCCAACCGGTTTGCTGCACATAACCCACAAGACATTACAGAATACGCACAGTGAAACTATATCCTGGTCTCATTTGCGTCCTGCCCAAGGCGCAAACACGCCACAACTTAGACAACCAAATGATACACTGGAGCCGTTCTGTATGGACTGTGTCACAAAATCCTGAAACTGTTATTGCTTGGGAAGGCCGGGAAGGGCCGGGAAGGCATGCGAATGCCAAGAACCATGAACCTTGTCATCAAATATCATCTATATAATTATTCTAATTACATGCGTGACATTCGTGACATGTCTTCAATCTTTGCTGCACTTTTTTCGGGAAACGACATTGGAGGAGGCTCGAAGCAACGCCAGTGACCTGGCCGAAAGGATCCGAAAGGATCCGAAAAGATCAGCTCGCCCCGGCTCCGTGGTACCAGCATGTCCGCCTTGGTAGAAGGAGAAGTTGAACCTGCAAGGGAAGGAGCCAAGCAAATATACATACATAATCAAACATAATCATACATAAATGTTGATCAATGTGTCTATCCTTAATCCAGCAAATATTAGAAGCCAGAAAATCTGTGCAGCATTTAAGGATCTGAAGTCTTTGGGTTTGAGGGTCAAATTATGTTCACGGGAGATCACGGGAGAAGCAAACTGATACTCCGGATGCAGGTCGCAGTGTCTGCCTTTTTTCCTTCACAAAAACAAACCACGCGCATCATCGAAGAGTTCTCAATCTCTTTCTCTCTGGCCAAGCCCCTCAGAACTGAATGACCATGACAAGGGATGTCATAGACGTCAGGCTCTGACAGTGACCTCATGGCTTCATCTGCTCATCTGGCTTCTAGTGTCCGGCTTCCTCTGCCGCAGCAGATCCTTGCAACTTGTTGAAGCCCGGATTGAAAGCATCGTGCCTCACATGGTGGAAGTAGACTCCGCTCAGCATGGTGATGGTCCACACAAGTGGGATCTGCATGCCGAACATTGGTTTCAGGCCCATGGACTTGCACACGTTGAAAGCATCGCGCATCACGGACAGCATGGCGAGAGGTCAAGGGCACAAGACCCGAGCAACCGGGGTGTAGGTTTTGGACAATGCTCGAGCCTAACCGCTATACGACATGGCAATATCACGGCAGGGTCTCTCTTCTTAGAGATAGTCAGAGATACTCACTCTAATTATTCTATGTCAATAAGTCTTGTTTCATTGTTTGGCACTATGGCAAACCTTTCGAGAGTGGCACTTTCTGCAGCCTATGTAACAAGGCATTACATGCTGTGACCGTCACTGGTTTGATATACAATTTGAGTTAGTTGGCGTCTCAAACCGCCATGAGCCCTGGCCTGCCCTAGCTGCCCTAGCTGCATTTGCTGTGCAACAGAACCCCGGAAAACCCAAGGTATATTCCAGCAAAGCGCTACACTTAAAAGCATCGATATGCAGGTCGCAGTGTCTGCCTTTTTTCCTTCACAAAAACAAACCACGCGCATCATCGAAGAGTTCTCAATCTCTTTCTCTCTGGCCAAGCCCCTCAGAACTGAATGACCATGACAAGGGATGTCATAGACGTCAGGCTCTGACAGTGACCTCATGGCTTCATCTGCTCATCTGGCTTCTAGTGTCCGGCTTCCTCTGCCGCAGCAGATCCTTGCAACTTGTTGAAGCCCGGATTGAAAGCATCGTGCCTCACATGGTGGAAGTAGACTCCGCTCAGCATGGTGATGGTCCACACAAGTGGGATCTGCATGCCGAACATTGGTTTCAGGCCCATGGACTTGCACACGTTGAAAGCATCGCGCATCACGGACAGCATGGCGAGAGGTCAAGGGCACAAGACCCGAGCAACCGGGGTGTAGGTTTTGGACAATGCTCGAGCCTAACCGCTATACGACATGGCAATCTATGTTTCTCCACGGCTAATGCCTTACAGCCTTGCCAAACAAACCTCAAGGAAATCCAAATTTGTGGTGCGGAATCTATATGAATCTAAATCGGTTTTGCATCGCTAAGTCTGTTTTGCATGTGTTCAACAGACCGACCCGCCTTGGCTTGCCTGAGAAAGCACCAAGAGGACCATGCCAGTGTCGCCATCTGGGTTCACACACAAATCTGGATGGTAGTGCAAAGGCTCAATGCTGTCTGTTTTTCCAACACCAACGCATAGACTGCCATAGCATGCAAGAACCATAAAGCAACTTGACAGAACCCAAAGATACCCAAAGCATAGGGCTGCCACACATTGAATCGATCAAGTTTGTCAAACGTCAATGTTGACTGACCATCAAAAAACTTCAGGATGGGGTACTGATGAACGAAAACAAACCGGTTGGCTGCCTTGGCTATATTATATATATATATGTGTGTGTGTGTAAATGTCACAATCATTACCATCGTGTTGCGGACCACCTACGGTATGACTCATCTGACTCAGTATGACGAGTAACTATGAAACGTATTTATCAAATTATCAAACACAAAACACAAACGAATAGGTGGACTTGTAAATTATCCATGAACTGAATTTCATAACCTTTTAATACCATTTAGATAATCAAGATAACAAAAGTATTGTTTGACGTTCTTCGGGATGTTTCTGAAATGATGTTGAAGCGTGCGCGACACGTCAAAATGGAGACGAATCAGCCCCCACAAGTCCCTACGATCCCTGCCTGCCTCACTCTGGGTGGACAGGAACATGCCATAAAGTCATGGTCTCACTGGTGTTTTGGATATGATTCCGTGACTTCTGGACTTTACTACTACCCGGGAAACACTAGGCGCAAAATGGAGCGGAACGTTGAACATGGCAGGTTCTCTAGCTTGAAGTGTGGGGTTGTGTCCTATGCAGGAATCTCCCAAGTCTAAAATGGTTAAGCCGATGCACTCAGCCAGACATTGCGCTGACAAGGACCTGTGCAATTTCTCCAATTTGTTCCGTCGCATCAAATGACAATTCATTGCAATTCTGAATGGGGTAAAGGGTTATAAACCATGATAAACCATGGTAAACCATTAATTTAAAGCTTCAAAATTGATGAGAATCTCACACTTGACCATCTCCCAGGCCAAACATGGGGATACATGGGGGATGTGTTGACCTGTTCCAGGATGCTGATGAGTTTTTGGGACTTTTATGTGATAGACACAACGGGGGCAGAATGTGATAAATAGATATATATGATATAACTAGGATTCAATAAGTCATGTTTGGCATTTACGCATCCATTTTTTGTGGCTCACTATTGAAATCGATTGAATATTTTTCGCGGCCGGGTGGAGATCAACATGGATCAACTGGAAAATAAATGATGACAATCTATTTGCAACGGTGGTAAACATCCCACTTATGGTTGCCAGCATGTGGTTGGGTGCAAACCCCACTTGATAAATGATGTAAATGATGCTATGGTTCCAGACCATCTGTTTCAGAAATGATGTTCACTTTTACAAACTCACGTCCTGGTTCCCACAAATGGCAGGAAATCATGATTCCAAATATTCCATCTTGTTGGAGCCCGGCACAATGACATCCAGGAAAACATGATAAAACGGAGGTTTTGGCAGGTGAATTTTGATGAACCATCATGATTTTGAGCGGTGGAAGTAGATGGAAGTAGGATGAAACCAACACGGCCTGCTGAATTGATCCTCTCTCGTTTGCAGGGCAAACCTAATAATCCTAATATGAATATATATATATATGTGTGTGTGAATCACTATAGATCTTGCAAACCTGGAGTTGTTAGGTTTCCCTGCTTGCTCGCACGGATCTTTTTCGCGCCAGTCAAAAGCTGTCAGTTTCGCCTTGCAACCCGTAAGTTGGGCTCCAATTTGCCCAAAGCCGCTTCAGCCGCTGGCTGAATATCTTTCACACTGGTCTTCCAGCAACGTGCTGACAGCCCTGGCGGCTGTTGGATTTCCGCGTCCCAGCCCGGCTATGAGATCTATGAGTCAGCCGGATGCAAATCTCGTCGGTTGATGATTGTCTGGTGCTGGGCTCGCCACCTTTCTCAAAGCTTCCATGGCTGCATCCCGGGCAGCTTGGTTCATGTGCTCAAGCCTCTTGCGCAATGTCCTCACAAGACCCACATGGTCGGGTGCTACCACAGAATTCATTATCACCTCTCCTTGCCGGATTCTGAAGTACAGAGAGACCAGCATGCCGCACGGACGAGTCACAGTGTTTCAGCTGGGCATACACAACCCGTGGGTCCTGTGAAAGATATGTCCAAGCCATTTCTCCGCTGCATCATTCACCACGTCGTGAAAATCATTTGCAACCCCTCTGGACGCGTCGCCACTGCAGATTGAGCGACGTATTGAGCGACGTATCAGTGCAGAAACTGCATCCAGCTGCGCCAGCGTCCAAGTCACCACAAAAAAATCAAGCAAGATCGAGAATCAACCCCACATAGATCTCAGATGATCTCAGTCTCAATCTTCTGCCCACTTCGGAAGTTCATTTTCTATTCGGGTGCGTATGGCCACGTCGCTAGTCAGATAGTCTGAAATCGCCACCACATTCACCAGGGAGCAGCCCAGGCGAGTTCACATCCGGCAGTGAACTCCACAAGGCGCAATTTGGTGGCGATGTCCAGCACAAAAGAGGCTGGACCTCCTCTACGTCATAGTGTCAAGAGGAAGTCCGCAAGACGAATCCATCTGGTAGATGTAGCTAGCACATTTCAGTAAAATAAATACAAACCCGGGAGCATATCGACAATTTGTTTATTTTTTTGTTGTTTCTCCTTTGCAGCATGGATATATATATATATATATTGCACTTCGTTTGTTTCCACGTTGGTTCACATGGTCCAACGGAAATCTTGGAATAGGACAGAGCCGGTCATTACGAGAGTTGCCTGTGTAAGCTGCATATTTGGGGCAAATAATGGCAAATAGGAGCCGTGATGAACACAGTATTTGGGGCACTTGATGGCCAATCTAAGATACACTGCAAAAATCAAATTTCTAGTTGGTTTGTTTATATCCATGCTTGCGGAAAAATATTTATCCAATGGATCAAGCATTAAACTACCCACCGTTTAACCCAGAGAACACATCATCCACGCCGTGCCCCTCCCAAAGGGCTTGTCTGAAAATGAGTTTGTCATGGTTTGTCTGAAAATATACTGTCATTTTCCCTATTTTCTAATGGCCATTGTGTGGAATACCCAATTTTCAGACAGACCCGAACAAGAAATTTGATCAACAGGATAATTACAAATGGAAACTTCACCATAATGGACAAACAGAGGTATGAACAATCGCAAATGTACGTATATGTACAGCATATGCTTGTACATATGTGCGATTTCACCATGCATGATCTTGTGTGCATGTACCATGCCTGTTCAAGATGTGGGTGTAATTCAAATCAAACCTTGGAGAAATGCGAGTCAACTTTCATGACAACTGACGCTCCATGACCCAAGTCATGAAGGTAATTTCCCCTCACAAACAAGCATGTCTTGACTGTCTTGACTTGTCACAAGGGGTCAAATGAATCACACCCAATATTAACCTCTGTCTATATCTTTCCACACTAGCCGATCCGTGTCTAAGCCCCTGCACTTGTGGCAGCTACGAGCTCTGGGTTCTCTGCCCAGGATATTTCAACACCGGATACAGGCCAGTATGGCCAAAGATTAGGTCAACTTGGAGGGTCAGATGTGCCATCTTCAGCCTGAGATCTGCCAGGTGTGTCATATTGTGTCATGATACGTCATGATCAATCTGGATCCATCTGGATCTATCTGATCCACTATATATATATATATATACACATTGTATAGTAATATATGCATATAGTCTAGTCTTCCCTCACATCCGATGAATCGATGAATCGGCATTCCAACATATTGCAATCTGCGCATGGGGTGGAACACGGTGGAACAGTGTTCTGTCCAACACACGCCACTTGCGGACCCGCATTGCCTTCTTCCAAAAGGTCGCGGCAGGAAGAGCACAGTTCCAACGGCCTCCACTGTCGTGATCTTTGCTCATCCGAATCTGTTGTACCTCTGGGGTCCCGGCTTAGCGCAGCAGGAAGTCGAATGTCAAAGTCTGAGGCATTTTCTACCTGCAACAGATACAGAACACACAAGCTTACCGTGCATTGATGAAAGGGTTGGACCAAATTGACACACAGCCGTGCAAAACAAATCAGCTTGCTGGCAATGAAGGTTGACGCTGACACTACCAGTCTGCATCTGCGAAGACAAGTATATCTTTCACATTCTTTCACTCTCATTTCACTCTTGAAGAACCATCGCAGCGTCTCTCCCACACATCATCATCAGGAACCTCTTGTCCCTGACTTCGTCCCAGCCCCTCAGAACTGAATGACCATGACAAGGGATGTCATAGACGTCAGGCTCTGACAGTGACCTCATGGCTTCATCTGCTCATCTGGCTTCTAGTGTCCGGCTTCCTCTGCCGCAGCAGATCCTTGCAACTTGTTGAAGCCCGGATTGAAAGCATCGTGCCTCACATGGTGGAAGTAGACTCCGCTCAGCATGGTGATGGTCCACACAAGTGGGATCTGCATGCCGAACATTGGTTTCAGGCCCATGGACTTGCACACGTTGAAAGCATCGCGCATCACGGACAGCATGGCGAGAGGTCAAGGGCACAAGACCCAAGCAACCGGGATGTAGGTTTTGGACAATGCTCGAGCCAAAACGAGCCAAGCAACTCTGAGCAAAGGCTTTCTGGCACATCATTCGCACAGCTACACTAACCTGAATGATAGGCCATTGATATGCCATTGCATGCTCCCAGGAAAAACAGGAAACTGAAAGTCCATGAATGATGTCCCACTGCCACTGCTGTGGAATGCGAATCTATGTCACTGCCCGGATCTGCCTTCGCAGCTTTGGCGGAAAAGAAACAACCGATCGCCTCGTTGATCTGCATGGTGCTTTCCTGGCACTGGTGGTCTCAAAAGATGAAACATGTTGGAACCACAGAATTCCATGCTGTAGGAACTGTACTTTTCCCATGTCTTCCCTCTTAGGACACCTACAGATCATTAAATATCATTGAATATCTATATAAGAATTACATAGAATTACATAGAATTACCATCTATAATGGCGTATTCCTGCATTTTGCGACTCACTTATCTATTCATCTATATTCATCTGTAGCCGAACTATGCAGTGCTGGACGCTGGCAACAAGGAGTCTACCGGGCCGCTCCTGCCCTGGCGTGAAGAAGCTGCTGGAGGGATCATCGCAGTGAATATACTTGGAGCGAAGGCAATGCACAGCATTGGCAGAGAACCAATTGCAGGGTTCCTTAGAGAACAAAACAGCTCACATCATCTTGCATCCGGTCACAAACCTGAGGTACCAATTTGTTACGCATGCTTTGACATGGAAACAGCTTCTACACATTTAATTTTTAGGTATTTGTATTGTGTGTATGATATATATATATATATTACAATATATTACATATTATCTTTGAAGCTTGGGCTTGCACAAGTCTCCCATAGTTAATCATTTGCAACCATTTCAACCCAAGTCTCTGCAGCAGCAACCTGTTGATATCGAATGGGGTCTTGCCCCTTCACCTCGACTTGTCAGGGACTGGCAACACATGGCATGGCAACCAAATATGGCGTGACGCTCAGAAAGGTGCGGGTAAGCTTGTGTCACCCAGGGGAACCACGAAGATCAGCAGGAGGAGATGAATGACCTGAGCCATGAGCTATGCTGAGCTGTGCTGAGCTATGGTGGCGATTCCGCGAATGGGCACAACTTTGATGGCTCATGTCATCTCATGTCCGCAACTTTTGGCATCTTTTTCTGCGCCCCAGTCATTGCCGGAGAATGATTGATGTCATGCGAATCGATGTGAGCTCACATGGTACACCCAAGGCTCAGTTTGGAAAGGTTGCATGTTTGCAGAGCTTTCTTGGCGGCAGCTTTCGTGCCCTTCTAGGGCAAGTCAGCGAAGATGTCAATGTGAACACCTGACCCAGGATCCCTGAGTGTGCTGTAGCGCTGCTTCCAGAAAGCATCAAAGGGCTCCTTCTCCACCGATGCGCCAGTGGCTTTGACCTTCCCGAAGATTTCGTCCACTTCAGCAGGGTTGGCGCATTTGAAAGTAAGGTGAACCGTGCAAGATTCCGGGGAGAACCTCACAAAATTCACAAATACAGACCATTGCAAACCTATCTCAGCCACCTTGCTGAAACCAAATTCGGACACATCTTCCAATTAAAATCAATGCAGAAAATGCGCAAGAAACAAGCGGAAATGAGAAGCAAAGCCGCATGAAAAATGAAAAAAAAAACATACAACAAAAAAACAAATCAAGCCTGGAAACTGATAGTCCGGATTGCTCCTTTTGATGACGTCCACCGTATCCACCATGAGCTTCACTCCAGCTGTTTCAGCCTCGCTGTGTTGACCTTGCTCTCCTTCGCCCCAGTGTTGGAAGCTCAGCCCCAGCCCCTCAGTGAAGATCCGCAGAGTGGCGGGTTTGTCCGCCGAGACGATTCCGACACCATTCAAAGCCATACTAAGTGTTGGTCACGAGGCTCAGTTTCAGCACGCGTCAAACACTTGAGCCATCACGAAACATCACAACATCAAACATCAAACAACATAACAACATCAAACATCAAACAACATAACAACATCAAACATCAAACAACATAACAACAACACCTAATGTACCTGACCATCACCAGTTTCAATGATTCAACAGGGTCCCCTAATATGTCCCCATGCGGTTTTTCACAGCATCAAGTCCCCGGGCGCAGTGCACCAGCCATGCTGCCATACAAGCCAGGACCAGCCGGGAAGGATCAAGGCCTCACTGGACCAGGCATCGTGATGTATGACAGATCTATGACAGTATTGTGTCATATTGTGTCCATTGTCCATGCTCAGGTCTGTGGAATGCTGGGATAGTGTCGCATCAGTGGTGATATGTGGTGATATGTGGTGATATGTGGTGATGAAATCTGCGCTCTGATTTGTTGAGTTCTTCAGTCGTGCGGTGTATGTTCTCCGCTTGCATCTGGCTCCAACATTGACCAATATCAATTCAGAAGGCACCACCACACAACGTTGCCCAATTGCAGATCCAAGCGACAAAAACCCAGACCTTGGCAGTTTCCCTTGAAGATCAAACACGCAGCCAGTAGGCCACAGCAAGGCGCTAGCAACACCTGTGCCAGGTCAGTTGAACAAAGCAACTGTTGATGGCAATTGATACCTACGATACCTATAGACTTGTGTGAACATGATAATTGTAAAACAAAATGAAACATCTGAAACAAAGTTTTGGCAAAGGTCATTGTGTATTTATCACCACATTTGGGTGTGCCTGAGAAATTCTCAAACTATCTGAAAATGGAGGTGCCCCACTGGTTTATAATCATGTTCTCTCTTAAGATCGCCATCTTAGCCGTCTTAGCCCCCCATTGAATCAAGACAAAGCCTGGCACCACCAGTCGATCTGCATCGATGCAAAGGTGGAGGCTGGCACCACACGAAGAACTCGATAGTGGTCCAAAAGATAGATGTATGCCTGGCTCTATCTCTGGCTCTATCTCTGGCGATAGTTTTTGAATGTTTTTGATGACCCGATTTATCATATTTATCGGCAATTCGATTCTGGAATTGCGATGTCATATGATGTAATGGGGCATATAAGCAGCAATAGATGACTGGCCGGGGCTTTGTCCAAAAAACGTGGAAATACCCAATCGGACACTCCAAGATAGCAATCTGAACAAGGAAAATGATGGTCAACCCACTGGATTTGAGAGTGCCCTAATTATTTTCGGGCAAACCCACATTTTAAAGATGTTTAAGGACTTCCCGTTCCCCAGCTGAACAGCATACACGGAAATTCAACGTGGGGGTAGAGAGATGCAGAGAGGCTCTTTTGCTGCTTTTGTTTTTGCCGTTGGGCAGCTCAATTCATTTGGACTTGCGGAGATGCTGGTTGTGAGTAGCTATTGTAGCTATTTGATGGTGGGGCAGGCTTTCTGAACTTCCATTGAATATCACTTCACCATAACCGGACAGAAAGCCACTCCACTGCATCCGTCGGGGAAATCTCTGAAGCCGAGCAGGCATCCACTTCTGATCTTGGTGCAAAGCAAAAAGAAGGCTTCGAATTCCAATCTACAGCCATCTACAGCCACATCAGGGACAAGGCCGACAAGGCCAACTCTGACCTCAGCCACAAGGACGTTCAACAAATTCAGCGAATTTCTCAGCGATGTCGCTCCTAAAAGAGATCCAAGGAAGATGGCCATTGATCGAGCCCAAAAGGGCACCGCAACTCAAAAAAAACTGGCTGGATGGGAAACAAGATGCAACTCTTTTGCGACTAAGGTGCAAAGTGTTCATGAAGCGCCTGGCGCCCACGGGCCTCCACGCCTACATGCCGTAAAAAGGTGTAAGGATGTGTAAGGTAGCAATTACGACAGGCATCCAAACACGGGACCGTCATGCCTTGCAAAGGGCCTCCACTGTGTGACAGTAACCTCAGTATTTTCTCGTGATGGGTGGCCAACTCTACTATCAACGAAGCGCATGCAGAAGTTTTGGAGTTATGCTCATTGCAGCTGCGCTGATATTCGCTTCATCCTACTGGCTGAAGGGTTTAAACATCTGGTGACCGGTGCATCACTAAAATTGTTGGTTGGGGTTTAGTACCATCAATTGTTCATTGATTGTTCATAATTGTTCATTGATTGTTCAATTCATGGCACCCCTCCGACCAAGGACATCGCATCTGTGATCCGAGCAGCAAATGGTATTTGCAGGGAAGTGCATCTGCCTCATAGATTTCAACAGGCTGATCGCCTCAGTGGTCCAAGAAGGCTGAGGCATTTTTGGCACGAAAAGAATGATCATCCGGCTGATCACCAGCATCATCGCCAATACCATATCTTATCTTACCGTCATTGGCAGAATAATCACCAGGATCAATAAATGTTAATAAATGGGTAAATCATCACCATTGGCAGGATCGTCATTATCAAATGAGGCAAAGCCCTCACTTGCGCACTTAGGATTTCACTCACTTGCGCACTTACCCTCACTTGCGCACTTCACCACAAAATTTCACTCACTTGCGCACTTACCTGAACAAGGGGGGAGGTGGGGGGAGGGGGGGGAAAATGGGGGGGGGAGGGGGGGGGGGGAGGGGGGGGGGGGTTGCAATGATGAACAGGGGGGGGGGGGAGGGGGGGGGGACAGATAGGGGGGGGGGAGGGGGGGAGGAACAGGGGGGAGGGGGGGGGGTGCCAGATAGGGAAACAAGGGGGGGGAGGCGGGGAAAGGGGGGGGGAAAAGGGGGGGGAGGGGGGGGGTTGCCATATAGGGAACAAGGGGGGAAGGGCGGAACAGGGGGAGGAGGGGGGTGTGATTTATTTTTGTTTACGTGTCTACACAATGCTTTTAGGCTTGTTGACATGTATTCCTAATTCATATCTTTCATGCGCACTCCGCATGGCTCAAGACTAGCAACAGCTCGCAGCCTAGAAAAAGTAGTGCGTCTTGCGTTAGCTTGCCACAGGTGTTGTAAATAGTAATCCAGGGCTCCCTCAAAGGGGAAAGCTACCTCAAAGTGGTAGCGGAGCCTGTGCCTTCGCCAAGTCTAGATCCGTGTGCCGAACTGCCGTTCTCTGCATACATTCCGTATATCGGACTTGCGGAGGCAACCTGTAGGTCAAGTTAGAGTAGCTGCCATGGTCTTAATCCACAACATGGATTCAGATGAAGAACAACTCCAGATTGTCTCTTATGAAGAGCCGGAAGCATATGCCGCCACCAGTCATTCCGAAAACCGGATGGGCATCAAAATGACACCGAAGGTTCCACCCCAATTTGATGGCCAATCTAGCTGGTTTGAATATGAAGATTTAATTGATGACTGGTTAGGGATCACAACATTGGATGCAGATAAGCACGGACCATCATTAAAGAATGCCCTCATTGGTTCCGCTTCTTTTTACAAGTCGATGCTCGATAATGCGCCTTACTCCGAGATCCGGATCGTGGCCTCGCTCATTTCAAGGACACATTGAGACCATACTTCGTGAAGGGAGTAAATCATGTGTTCCTTTGGCGATTCCTTCAGATGTTTCGCACATATCGAGGCCAGAGTGAATTCGTGCACTGGATAGGGCGATTTGAGATCGCACAGAAGCGTTTGTTGGCTTCTTGGTCCGATCTGCTGGACATATCCGACCTTCCCGAAGCAGGCACTCCGGCATTTACGGCAGCACTCACAGATGAGCAAAGACTGCACTATAATGGAATAGTAACAGATGAAGATAAGCTAGCTTATCAACAAGAACTGAGAGAACAGACCATAACCAATAGAAGGACCAGACATGCACAGCAGTTTCCATTGTCAGACAATTTGATGTCACTGATTTTTCTAGTCCAAGCAGACCTCAACGAGCAACAACGCGAGCGTTTTGTCTCGTCCATGAACATCCGTCAGATCGCAATGCCTCAATATACCTATCTCCAAGTGAAACAGCTGTTCTTAGAACTTTTTGCCGTTTCTCGCACAGGTGTTGCAGACCCAAACATCACGCACCGCAAGCGGTCCAACTTCTACGTCATCGACGAGGGCGAGACCGAGGAAGGTGAGTACGGATTTTGGGTCTTCGATGAAGAGACGGGTGAAGAAGGTTTCACAGGTCTGTACACAGAGAACGAGTTCTGGGTTCTCAGCGCCAAGGGTTCATACTCTAAGCGCCGTATCTACGGCAGGTCCTTCAAGAAAGGTAAACCAAAAGGTTATGGCAAGAAAGGAGGAAAAAGATCAAGACCCGGCTTCCGCTCGAGGTCAAAAGGCAAAGGTTTTGCAGCGTGGGAAGATGACCAGCAAGACACAGCTTTCTGGGGAAAAGGCAAGGGCAAAGGAAAAGGTAAAAAGGGCAAGAAAGGAATGATGAAAGGAAAGGATTCTTTCAAAGGAATGCCTTCATGGAAAGGAAAAGGAAAAGGTGATGCGAACGAAGAAAGCTGGAGTTATGACTTTGACACATACTGGACTGATGACTGGTCAGGTTATGAATCCTACTATGGATATGATGGAGACTACTCCCAAGGTGATGGGTACAATTGGTCATATTTTGTTTCCGCTGAGGAACTGACCGAATCCGAGGACAAGCATTCAGACGTCATTTCTGAGGACGGACAGACCGACAAGATCAACCGGTTCTGTTTTTCAGGCATCCGCTTGTTCCGATTGTTCGGACACGAACTTGTAGAGGCCCTCACATTCGTGCTTTTGTTCGTGTCTGTGATGTACCAGTGCTTTTCTGATTTGAACAGGTACCTATTTAAGAGCATCCGCCAAGTTGAGAAGAGTGTTTCTACCGAAATCGGTGATCTGCATTCGTTTCAGCCGCGCACAAGCCCGCTCAATTCCGTCTCCACGGAAGAGTGTGTATTTCTCAATTATGATCATGGTGCCCAACAAGCATTGCTTTGTGAGTATGTAGATTTAGGTTCTCATCCGACTTATGTCATCCTTGACTCAGGTTGCACTCGAGCCATGGGATCCCGCTTTGCCATTGATCGCCTTGTACAGGCTTGCCAACAACATCCTAAGCGTGATCACATTTGGTTTTCTAAGCAACCGTGTTCAAGTAAGTTTTCATTTGCCAATGGAGAACAATCTACTGTCAAGGAAAGATTAGTGATTCATTTTCGCAATGATCGTGTACAAACTGGTGGGATCACAACATGCGTTGACATCCTGGACAAAGGTAAGGTTCCTATCCTCTTTTCAGTTGAACAAATGAGGAACCTTCGCATGAACATTGAGCACACTCCTGTAGGTGAGTTCATGACTTGTCCACTGTTTGGAATGCAACGCACCGCATTGGCGGTCAGTACATCCAATCATCCAGTCCTTGACATTATGGCTCTTGCTACTTCCAGTTGGAAACCGATGTACAGCTTTCAGTCCGAAGACATCACATGCCCAGCATGCAATGGTAAACATCGACCACACACAAACAAAGAAGGTTGCAAGAGATTCAAAGGATCAGAGCCTAAGCCAGTAGAGGTGCCGAAACCGGCCAAGCCTGATTCTAAGAAGATTGTCAAGAAAATAATTCAGCCTGATAGCAAGTTAGAAGTACCAGTTCAACCTTTTGATCCTGATGAAGAGCCAATGGTGGCCTCTGGGCCAAGTTCCGGTTCAAAGGACGGTATCCCAAGACGTCGGGAACCTCAGATTGAAGAAGAAACTGAAGTCAAACCGGAACCAAAGGTTGAAGTAAAACTTGAAGAGAAGAAAGAACCGTCACCTAAGGGAACTTTGTCACTAGCACTTCAGAGAATTCATGATAAGCTTCAATCACCCACTGAACTTCTCAAGTTGCATTTGAAGCATTATCATATGACCACTGAACAATTCAAGAGAAGAACATCGGCTCTGAAGTTACCGAAAGAAATTTATGATAAATTTGATCAGATCACCAAATCATGTGACACATGTTCCACTGCCAGGATTGCACCATCAAGAGCTAAGGTTTCAGGAATCCGAAGTGAAGTCTTTGGTGAACTTACTTTCATTGATCATGGAGAAGTTCCTATCAATCCTCAGTCAAAACTTCAATTCCTACTTATGTATGACGGTGCAACTTCTTTGACTACTGCCTTTGTAGTTCAGAACAGGTCTGACACGGTGACGATAGCTCATCTTCAAGAGTACTTTGAAACTTATCAGTTGAATCCAAAATATATTGTTGCCGATCAAGCTTTCATGGGCACTGAGATGGAGAGTTATTACAACCGGCACAGCATCAGGCCAATCTCTCTAGGACCAGGAACACCATGGCCAAATCGAGCTGAGGCAGCCATTCGCATGTTTAAGAAACAGGTCTCATTAATGCTAATTTCCTTGAAGGACGATCCATTGCTTGCCAACATTACTTACAAACAGTTGTTGAGACAAGCCTGCATTTCAAGGAACACCATGGTAACACTCGGTGGTGTCACTCCAATTGAATTAGCATTTGGTAGAGGACCTGCCGATCTTACGGCGATTGAGCTCATGAATCCAGCACAGCTCACGACTGAGGCCCCTGCTCCTGAGAGACAGATTGAAGCACTAAGGTCACTGGCGATGCGAAAGTTTCTAGAGGCAAAACAGTCTGATGACCTTCGAAGAGACATTGCAAGTAAACTTCAACTTAGTGATGGACCATTCTTTCCTGGAGATAAAGTTTACTATTGGACCGAAGACAAATCAAAAATCAAATCAGACGGTTCACATGGAGGAAAATGGATAAAAGGAAAGTTGGTTTCCGTAGATGGCAGCATGGTTGGAGTTGACTTAGGAACCAGAATTGTGAAGGTCAACATCAGTAAAATAAGAAAAGACCATAATCCTATTGAGGATATTGACATTCCTTTAGAACCAATTGCACTTGCCAGTGCCGATTTTTCGGCCAAAGCTGCCGCCGGTGCCGAATCTTCGGCCAAGGGCGCCTGTACAGCAGTGAAGTCCACATGCCGCTCAGATGACCATGCAAATAACATCATAGAACACGATGCCAATCAGTCAGGTCCTGAAGGTATTAAATATGGTTGTTATACATGGGAGCCAGCTATGACCGGAAAAGTAGATTTCCTTGAGCTGTTTAGCGGCTCTGCCAAGCTTAGTCAAGCGGCAGCAATGCAAGGGCTTCGAGTCGGCGCTCCAATAGACCTCCGCACAGGTTACGACTTGCTCACTGCCGAAGGCCGGCGAAAGGCAATGGAAGTCATTGAGCGACAGCAGCCAAAAATCATCCACATGGCACCTGTTTGTGGACCATGGAGTCAAATGC